CTACAGCAGGAGTGTCCATATTTGACTGCTTACTTACACAAATACTGCTCTACAGGAGAACCAATGTCTTCAAACTGGAATAAAGTCAGCAAAAGAGTGACCATTTGAGTAGACTGACTGCTAAACAAGAACAGTTGGAAAAATATTTGCCTGACGCCGACTTCCTAAAAAGAATTTAGAATCTGTTATGAAGCGCAAACGCTTGTGCGATGTCATGGTATCATTATTCCCCATAAAACTGAGTTTGAAGGAAGAGCTGTGAGTGAGTGTTGAAAACTAGAGTTTTCAGAATAGCTCCGAAAATTCATGAAAAAAACGGTAACGGGACGATTTTTTGAACGGGTCAATTTGGAAACGAGATCAAGCTATTCGCTAGAAAGCTTCGACCTCCTAGTTCCTCTCAGGTGGACAAGAATTGCAAAAAGTTGGCTCTAAAGAAAGTTATAACAGTTCTAAGCCAAAACAACAGCGCTCTTCGAAAACGCGATCCGCGAGTTCTCCAGAATGGTACAACAGGACGATTGTTTGACTCCATCAATTTTGAAAGGAGTGCAAGTAAAAAGTTAGAAGCTCCATCCTTCTAACTAATTCCAGGGGGTCAAGAATGCAAAAGTTAAATCTAACAAAAGAAAGTTATCAGTCCATGGAAAAACCAAAAAAAAGCGCGTGGCTGTGCACAGAAAACGGTCCAACGGGGCGATTTTCCGAATAAATGAAACTTTATAAGAGTTTGGGTGCTTTTAGAAAGAAAACAACAGAGTTTCAAAATTTTATTACCACTTCTCACATTTTCTTATTTGCGAGAAATTAAAACCGCGCGCCAATGTGGCTCGGAAAGGGCCAGTCGCCCGCCGCGCGGCTCAGCGATGCAGTGTAACTCGAACATTCCAGCTTCTCACGGAACATTCCAGCTTCTCACGCATGCTAAGTGACTGCCCTCACCCCCACCCCCCTGAATTGGCTACATTCCCCCTGGCTCACGAATTTCCTGTTGCCGCAACGCCGCGCGCGGCGACTGGCCCCCTCCGAGGCACATTGCGCCTTAGAACCTTTTAAATGAAAAAATGCGCACATTACTGTGGAATCTTAATTCTCTACCCCGTAACTAAAAGAGTTTTGAAGATATGCACAAACGTGGTAGTTTTCTGAAACTACATAGTAGTCTCCCAGATAAAAAATCTACCTAGCCGTTTGAAAAAAAATTGACGTTGACAGGATTACACTCATGTGAAAATTAGTAGTCCGCCTCGATCTATCCGCGCTGGGCTAAGGGGGAAATTGTGCGCGCCAATGCAAGTGCGCTGACAATCTGGTGTATACGCCTCCGAGCTAAAGTACGAGGTATTTCGCAAACACACACAGGCAGACACTATACCTAAGTAAGTACATACCTAAAAGTGGGCGCTATGTGCCTGGGGGGGGGGGGCAGTCACCGCGCGCGGCTGTGCGGCAACAGGAAATTCGAACATTCCAGCTTCTCACGCATGTCATGTGACTGCCCTCACCCCCAACCCCCCTGAATTGGCTACACTCCCCCTGGCTCACGAATTTCCTGTTGCCGCACGAGCGCGCGCGGCGACTGCCCCCCCCCCCCGAGGCACATTGCGCCCACAAAAGTGTTTGGGGGGGGTGTGGCATCCACCGGCCTCGCTAAAACACAGAGGGGCGTAAAATATATTCGAACTTGGTCCAATGTGACGGTTGACCCTGACTAGTTGCCGACGCGGCGCGCGCCTGCGTCCTCTCAGCGAAACAGTGCAAACACAGCCAAACACTGCAGCTTTTTTCGGCTTTGCACACTGAGTCAAGTGACTCGCCCTACTCCCTCAACCCTGAACTGCCCACATTTCACCTAGCTCAAGGAGCCCTCGCTGACCACTGAAGGGCGCACACATGCCGCGCATCGTGGCGGCAACTGTCCCGCCTCTGACCAAGTTAGCACCAAATTACATTTTAAAAATATACAGCGAGATATAAAATTTTCAACGGACCTAATGATCACCAAATCGCCAACGACGATGTCCTCGGTGTTGATTTCCTTCTCCTCACAATCTCTGATCACAATCGCCTTCGATGGCAGAAGTTTGGTGAAGCTTTTTAATACCTAAAACAAAACAGAATGTTCCTAAACGTGGTCGAGCAATACCAAATGCAAAGAAATAGAATACATTATACGAAGTTATACGATCTTCTATTGACTCACTTTTCGAGCTTTACTCTCCTGCCATAGTGAGAGAAGGCTCATGACGAGAACAACAAGCAACAAAATGAAGGCACAATAAAGATTGAGCGGCTCGTTGAAGCCTTGCGCATAATGCGCAAAATATCTGTCGGCTTAATGAGAGAAATGCGCACCTGAATAGAATACGGTAACCTGATTACGGTAGACATGTGCGAGGTGAACGAAAAGCAGTGGTTCGTTAACGTCTTCTTACCGGCACTTATCCCTCAGTATAAGCACCCCATCTGTCCAACCAAAACAAGTTCTTCCCGCAGGTCCTTCGATTTATCAAAACCGACAAAGCAATAATGAATTTCAATATTTCCCAAAAAAAGCAACTAACCCGTTAATAATAGCCAGAATTTGAAATGAAATTGCCTGATGAAAACTCGAAAGAGATGTCTGCCCTCGGGGAGCAGTACTTTCCCAACCCGTCCATCTCGAAGACGCTTTCTATAATCAATTAAATAATCTAAAAAACAATTCAAATTTACACAATTTTAAATATCTGGGACCTAACAAGAGGCGAATTCGAACAAACGCTTTCTAGAATGCGCTACAATCAATTCACCTGGCTTCTTCACTGTGTAAGCCATCACTGCGTTCGGGAAATTCGTGATGAATATATGAATCTGGATAGAGATCTTTCAACTGTTCGATTGTCAAGTGATGCTCCACGAATGATATTCCCACGGCCTGCACAATCTAACAATTTTGCCTGCTCAACAGAGCTTCAGCGATCAAAACTCACCTTTCTTGCCTCCGAGATATCCCTTTTGCCGGGCTCAACACTTGTCTCGATACTCGCCGCCTCCAGTCGGCTCCAAACTCCTAAGTCAGCTTTAGTGGTGAGGTCTGATGAAAAGGCGTCTCAGAAATATGGCATTAATCAACAACAATCTATAAAGCACTCAAAAACTACGCACCTGTGCACTGCTTCAGTCGACAATCGGTCTTGCAGTGTCCTTCTAAAACTAAAAAAATGATACTTTGAGACCATCACTAAAGATCAGTTCATATTCAGAAAAAGTAGTTTCCGGAAATTGGAAACAATCAATAAATTAAAAAAATTAACTTGTTTCAAGGAAGACCATTCTCATTCTCCTGACCCATTTCTTCATCTAATCCTACAGGTTTGTTTGATAATAAATCATTTTTACAAAAAGCGTAGGAACAATGCAACGCTCGCCTCTGGAACAGCATTTGACCGTCAACCCTTCAGTATTTTAAAAGGCGAAAAAGGAACGTTCGAAGCACGTGAGTGAGAAGAACTTGTATGACGGGGCTACCCAAATGACAGTCATTCTCAATCGGACGTCCTGACAAAAGAGTAATGAACCAAGGTTAAAATACGCCATGAATCAGATCTGAGGATCGTTACTCTAATATTACACTGGCTTGTACATCTCTCAAATATTCGAACGCTTAAAAGAGTAACGAACTTCGATACCAGATAACGCTGCTAGTCATCAACTATCGCGTGGACATTTCAGTAAGTGCTCGAATGGATGCGGCATAAACCAAACGGAGGACGTTCACTTGTACCCTATGCGATCGACAACGCTCCATGACTCTCGTGCGCAGGCGTACACCAAACCGGTCCTAAACTTCACGACCAAGGTCAATCAAGGGTTGCGCAGTTCCCAACAGCCGTAGTATTCCGTTTTTCGGAGGGCGATCCTGTTAGGGGTAGCCGAAGGATCAAAAGTTGAGAAAGAGATCGTATAAAAAGGGTCGCGGTAGCGGGAGAGAGGGGTCGTGTTTGACCGGATATGGGGCTGTATCGAGATCCCCCGCCAAGAAGAAGGGGTCGTCAAGTTTCTGGAACTGAACCAACGGACCGTCGACCCTGCTCACGACACTATGGTAGAATACAGGCTTGCAACTCAAGATAATGGAAGGCAGCTTCACGCGGCTGGGAAGGGTCAGAAACACATAGGTCAAGGCAAACATCCATACGGCTTTTATGCGAACGACAGAACAAGAATAGCGACTGCAATGGTTATACACCGCGTAACAATAAAAAAGGGCCTTTTTAAAACGGGACCCAAAAAAATCAAACCGAAGCAGGAAGGTACTAGACCTCGAAGCGTGGGGCGAGCGACCGCAAGGAACCCTTAAATGAAAAGGCGAAAGAGCTCATCAACGAAACCGTCCATGGAAAAATCGCGATCTAATCTCGCCAATAGTTCACTGGCCAAAGGCCCATCATTTACGACAGGAATGAAACGAAAAACTGCGTTGTTTCGGTAAACAATTCGATAGATCGAAGGACTGCTACGCGTTTAAACTCGTCAACGATATTGACGACGGGAATGATTTCATCTTTCTCTCGACGTGCCCACTAGGAAGCAGGGTCAACCGTCTGTTCGAACTGTTCGAACGAAGGGGTCGCATTTTGGTCGGAAGGGGGTCGCAATTTCGAGGACTGCCAGCCACAGGCGCGTGCGTGGCGTATCCGAGGGCAAGAATTGTTTGTGCAGACCGCATTAGATTCGATTAATTATGCACAGAGAGACAGTTTTAGGCAAATTACGGTGTTTTCCTTGAGGAATAGAGAACAGTTGAATGCATCTCCATGAAAGGTTTGACTTCTTGTGGCTGAAATTGAACTTCTTCGGGAACCTACTTTTCTACGGACGGTTCTTCCACAAAATCGTGAAACACATAAGAAAGAAGAAACCTCGCGGTCTTCAAAAATGTCTTCGCCTCTTTCCAACATGCTCTTTGAAGGAAGTTATTATTGCTGAAAGCTCGAAACCTCGCATGTGCTGCTCAAAAACCTATGGGATCCAAATGTTCGAACGTGGGATTTTCTCGAAAAATGAACTTTGAAAAATGGTTTAGGGCTTGTTAGAAAGAGCAAATTCTGCTCTTTCACCCCATGGAAAGAGGGAAACACAGCAATCAAAATGAAGCGAGTTATGCTCGTTGAAAGCCCAAAAACTCGCGATTTCAAAGAATGTGTTCGGCAAAACCGCCCGAAATGTTCGAACGTGGGATTTTCTCGAAAAATGAACTTTGAAAAATGGTTTAGGGCTTATTAGAAAGAGCAAAACCTGCTCTTTCACCCCATGGAAAGAGGGAAACACAGCAATCAAAATGAAGTGAGTTATAGTCGCTGAAAGCTTAAAAACTCGGTTTTGCACGGGAACTGTTCGAACGGGGCAAATTTTTGAAAAAGGGGACAATCACTTAACTTTTTATAATCTTTTGTTAGAGAAATATTTGAAGTTTCTAAAACTTTTCACAAATTTCCAAGATGTCGCATACGAAAGATTTTATGAGCTCTCAAAGTTGGAGGTGCGCCTTCTCAGAATTTTGGGTTTTCCGCTTCTGACAGAAATACTTTTGGGAGAGTTAGGTCATCCTTGCAATTTTCTGTAAAGCCACCTCAGGCACAGTTTAAACCTACCTCAATAAGTGAAACAAATACGTCTCAAGAAAGTTACACTCTCCTAAAACTTTTTCTTCGCCGCGTCCCAGTTTTCCAGCGTCCGGGTGATACCTGCCGCGCTCCAAGGTTGACGCCGCAACGCAAACGCTTTCTGCGGCGGTTTCTGACGCAATCATGTCAGTCCTACTCTTCTTTAATCCTTCCTCTTTTTTCAGCTGTTTGAGCAGAAGTTCGTCAGTCTTCATGTTACTTGTTGGATATCCCTCCATTTGGTCTTACACATTTCGCTTTCATCCTCATTTTGGCGTGATTGTGAGCGAACAAAAATTTTGATCTCGCGAGGCTAACCATAAAAAATAGCTTTCATTAGCCAGTGCCCTGTGATTCTTGCTCCTTTGGGGCTCATCTTAGGAGATGCATTGATGGAGAACGTAACTCTCTTTGATTTACTCCCTTGAACTGCTCTTGTGATTCTTTCGGAAGCATGAAGTTTGAAGTTTTGGGCAACATGAAAAAAATATTGAATTTTTTTCAGAAATTCAATGATTTTTTGAAAACAATTCAATTCAAATTTCAGTGAAGATCTCAATATTCAAATGTTCTGTTCATATTTCATGGAAGTTCATTGTCCATTTGAAAACAATGAACTTACGAACTTACGAACACAACATTTGAATATTGAATTCTTTACTGAACATTTGAATTGAATTTTTTTCAAAAAATCATTGAATTTTTGAAAAAAATTCAATGATTTTTTGAAAAGAATTCAATTCAAATGCCAGTGAAGAATTCAATATTCAAATGTTTTGTTCTATGTCATGGAAGTTCATTGTCTTTAAAAGGTTTTAGTTCACTGTCTTTGAAGTAAAATGAGTGAAATAAATATTTCACTTAACATTTAGTCAGCACATTCGGCACTTCCATTACCTAAGAGGGGGTCGCAACTGGACCCCCTTGAGATAAGGGGGTGACCCCCTTGAGAAAAGGGGGTCGCAAAAACCCTGAAAATGTTCGAACGTGACGGTTGACCCTGCTGGAAGGCCCTCTGCCTTCTCCTCAACTGTGACGATAACGCAACTCTATCGATCGTTTTGTTTCTATTCTCCAAAATCGAACGCTTTCATCAGATTCTTTTAGTGCGCCGCTTAACAGTAGCCAGAAAAGGGAAAGAAGTGCGCCCAAAGGCGCACTTCTTTCCATTTTCTTCTCCCGATCTACCCGCAACCGTCCGCAATGGGGTTTTCAAGAATTTGTTTCTCTTCAAACACTTGATCTTCTTGCGCAAATTTTCGTACGTTGTCTCAAGTGATCACGGCTGAGATCTTCTTCTGGGAAAGATGTAAGATTATTCGGGGACAATTCCTTCAAGAAGGACGTCACCTGATGTCGAAGCAACGGCAGAATACGCCTCGAGAGGGGATCTAACAAGAACGGCAAACCCCTCGAAAGCGCGGTTTTGACACAAGGAAAAAGATGAAGATGAGAAAGTTGCATAATGAGCATGTTGCGAAACATGGTATTTTTCCTCTTCAGTGGCCAAAACCATGAATTTATGTGACCTGGCAAAACCCAGCGCGCCCGTGGAAAATTGTAAATTTCTCTGACAAATGGGAAACAATTTTTCAACACGTCGCTTGACTTGTGCGCATTTACCCAAATCTTCACTTTCGCACTTTCACGATGTCTATAAATAAGGAAAGGATAAAGCATTTGCCGTTGATCAATCCCTTTTTGGGATGCGGCACGCATTCTACTTCCATTTGTACATTCGTAGTGGCGTTTGAATGCGATGTGGCCTATACAATGACTTGCGGGGGCCAGCCGATGTACAAGTCAGTGTTTTTTTTTATCCTCCCAGACAAGTCTGGTACCAATTAACCGACCCCGGAGGGATGGAAGGCTTGGTTGTTCTATCGACTCACACAAAATTTTATAGATAATGCGGTTCTAGCAGTAGCAAGTCAAATATTAGGTTGTTCCGAAAGTCTTTGGCCATTTGTCGATTTTTTTCGAATCCACTTTTCGTCTTCATCCCAGTCAGCAATTTACAATCATAAGCCCCGTCATAATCGCCAACATATTGCCTTTCACCAGGTGACTTGTTGATGCGGCTTGCCTTGAAATCCTGATTTCGAGGCAAAAAAAAAAACCGAAAGAAATCCGTACCATAGTCCATATAATGAGGATCCCCCGCCTTCCTCCTTCTTCTAGTTGATTCAACAGCAACCGAAGTAGACGGTATTCTGTTGGGGCGGGATCTGCTGAACAGAACCGGCGAGAAAGAACATCCCATAAGGGCTCGGAGATTTTTGCATGACCTTCTTCAAAATTCCTTGACGGTCGTTGCCTGGATGAACTTTGTAATGTTTTCCAAGCACAGTGCCGGAAGAACCCATCTGCTTGGCCGCACATTACCGTACACAACAGTGCAGTTCGTTGTTAGGAGCTGTCGATGAACAGGCTTTACCAACTCTGAAAGGTACCTCTCGAGTTGCAGTGCTGGAATGGACGTCGTAATCTTCGGTTCTACGCGTTTGAGCCAGTGGCGCTTCCTGCTGTAGCTTACGTGAGGAGCTCACTACCAAAAACGTAGTTGGATTAAAGGCAAAAGTCGGGCTCAATAAGTGTGTATTATGGCGATTGAAACTGAGTATAGAGATGCGAAGTGGAACGACAGTGGAGACAAGGCCGTTAACAAAACCCTCTTCCCACTAGCAGTGAAGG